TTTACTTCTAAAAAGTAATTACAGTTGTGGGGTTTGTCTCACTGATGCAGCCAACAATTCTTTAAAGAATGATTTGCATATGCGCTGTGCTATCTCATGTGATCTCCTGCCTTCCGTCGTCATGTGATAGAATCTCAATCAAACTTCAACTTACAGGTAAGTCTCGTTTAATTTTCCAATTAATCGTCACAAAAATTGTACACAGATTGAAATCTTCCTTTTTTTCTGAACTCTTTACCGTATAACACAAGAATTATAGAACAGCACTAAGTTTGGATTACTTACCTTCCGTATCGCTACTTTGTATGTAGGTACCATGGTTTAACTCTGGGTTGGTTTTGTACCCTGTAAGCTGCGGAGTGAACTCGTTCCTCCTTAATCGCTTTATCATTGCTCCGAAAGACTTCAGATGAAATTCGTCATGGGTGCCAATCTCTATTCCTGTTTATACAACAACTTTGGAGAGGGTGCTGTTGTACTTTCAATGTGTTGTCTTGTAGAATACGAAAGCTACTCTGATCGTTAACCATGTCAATCATGATACGACCGAACAAGCATGTGACGTCAATATTGATATCGAGGGGGGAGGGTGAGGGGGGAAACGAAAGCTGTGCACAGCTTGAAATCAACCCCAATTTAACTTTCGTTTAAATAAAAATAACATATCTTCGAGAGGGTTAAATCGCACCCTGACAATGAATACAGGAATCGATAGCATAACGGTCTTGATAGCTGTACCTCAAAATTGTTGATTGACAGCCCTAAAAGTAAATGAAAATTTCTCTGGAAACTAATGTAACACTGCAAAATGACTCTATTTGTGACGAGTTTCAACATTAACCCGAATTTAGCAGCAGGTCTAGCGATAAACTGCATTCCTCTCAAATATACAACCATAACACATTGATAAATGTGAATGAAGAGTATGGTATMATCAGTTTTTTCAATTTATTCAGATCGTTACATTATATTTTTCCCTTAAATTTGAGTTTTCTGCGGGCTCTCACCAAGCTACTGTGAATGTCGTTTCTACCTCATTATACCATGGATAGTTGACATGATGTATGACATCAATGATTCATAACGGCATGCATCATGTACTCATTGAAATGAGATCGCGTGACTCATACACATCTATATGAACTATTGAAGTTGGCGTTACCTTAATATTACTGGCATCATCTAAGTAAGATCCACGAGTTAAGGTAGGGTTTGGTATAAAGTTGTTCACAAATATAATATTGAATAAAATACTGGTAAATATAAAGAATCATATAAATTATAGTATTTAAATCGCATCCTCGAGAATGGTACATATTCATATTGCATAAGGAAATTTCCATTTGATCGGGAGGCCATAATTGATGCGATTTCAAATTTCAAAGTGCATTTTTCGATGCAATTAAGCTTTCAAATTTCACTGAAAACAGCTTGAAAACACTAGCGTGGGTTCTGACCATCTGCAACAGTGAATGACAACTCTAATCGGACCTGAATCATCAGCAACGATCTAATCTAACCAAACCATCTCTTAAGAAAGGGGATCGACAATTATATATTTCATTTTCATCTCATTTCGTTATAGTTTTCGTTCATATTTTCGATTTAATTCTCGATTTATAAGCGTAGGCACACCGTTCCATATTGTGTATTGACATCATAAACATGTTTCAATAACTATGCAAATTTATGAAGTGCTCTTGACGAGTATGAAAGAAAACATCATAAAACTTGTAGCCTGTAAAACTGCAAGAATTGACAAGACGCTAGTTGAAATAAAATATGAAAGACGTGAAAGAATGAAAAACAAAGGATCGACTAGAACATTCAATTAAACTTAGTTTCAGTTGAGTGGCTTTGATATATGTACACACCTCACAATAACTTTAATAACTGCCTCAAGTAATTCTGGCTTACGATGCTTAGCGAATAAATTCAAAATTAGTACACAAGTTGTTTGCCTTTTGATCCGACAATAGTTTCTATGACATCTCTGCACTTTTTTTCGTTTAATTATTTTAAAATTCATTTTCAGTAGTGCCGGCCACTGAACCTCATTAAAATTCCAAATATTGTGTCCTTATGATTTACACGGGCGATGCAAGAAACTCAAATGAAAATACAGGTTTTTTTAATTTTTTTTAAAGTTTCTTGCACTTGCATTTAATCTGTGTCTGCATTTTCAACGAGTGAACTGATACATTGGCACTTGTGTTGTGTTGTTAGTTTGAACAAGCCTTTAATATGTCGCGGGTCTACGTGCACCGATTGATCGGTTCGTTTTTTACCATTCAGGTAATAAAAAGTCGCCAATGGGTTCAAGTTGCTGCAAGCATGAATCCAAAACGAGAGGAGCTGTAACTACAGTAAGTGTCATTAAGAGACGCGAGGAGGGCGTCACTTCAAACGATACCGCACCAGCAAGGGACGAGCATCAACTTCGTGATGACGTCATTCAACCTGAAATCAACCGTACCGAGGTTAATTCTTACGATAAGCCAGTGACCCTGCCAAAAATGCCAACAGGGGTTGAAAATGACGCTAGTAAACTACCAGGTACCGTGAACACTACTACTAATGAATCTGATAACAGTGATGATGAGATCAGTGATGGAGGSGGTAACACTGACAATGAAACTGACAGCAGCAGTAGCAGCGATGACGTTGAAAGTCTCCCTGTGTCAGGTGACGAGGAAGAGGAAGAAGAAGAGCAGCCCGCACTCATGACGAAAATTGAGGCTTACACATCATCAGACGAGAGGATTGCTTTAGCGTGCAAAGGGAGGTTCGACTTTGAGATTCCAGAAAATGTCAAAATTGTCAGGATTTTTACTAGTTCTACATTCACAGGTATGGATAAAATAGCTATAACCATAGCTTGCTCACATGGCCACTGAATCCCAATACATACAGCTCCCCATAGAGTCCCCACCGAGTTTGAAGAGTATTCAAATTCAAACCACCAAATAACCATTATCGTGAAACCTGTTCACAGACACGTCAGTTGAACGRAACACTCTTATGGTCAAAGTATACCCTCGTATCAAGAAGTTCTGCCAGGAGAGAGGTTACGAGTTCCAAGTTGTAGACATGAGGTGGGGAGTACGAGACGAGTCCACCGATGACCATCTCACTTCAGAGTTATGTATGAGAGAGTTGCACGCATGTCAAAGACTGTCTACTGGACCGAACTTTATTGTAAGTATTAGCTGCACGCCCTGTAAAATCGGCTCCATTTTATTATCATTCTCGCTTTTCAGACTTTTCTGGGTCAGAAGTATGGCTATCGCCCGTTTCCACCAAAGATTCCTGCCCAAGAATTCCAGAAATTATTTGACGCGGTCACCAACACCGATGATCGAGAGCTATTGCAAAGATGGTTCAAAGAGGATAAAAATGCAATTCCCGCGGAATACCTTCTCCAACCAATCACACACATTCTTCCTGATTATCGAAACTATGACAACCCTGAATTACGTAAGAAAGCGTCTGGAGAATGGTGGACAGCATTTGAAAGAATGCAAGTTGTATTTAGGAATGCTGCGGCAAAAGCTCTGGATAAGAAGTCACGACTAAAATATTTCATGTCAGGTAAATGATCATAGGAAAATGTAGCAATCAATATCATTTTGCAGCTTCGCGAAATCGTTTTTTAGTTATTTTTTTATGTAAAGAAATTGTGAAGTCTCCAATGATCAATGAGCTTTTTTTTTAGTAACTGAAGACGAAGTTCGACGTGGTATTATTACCGCAAGCTCACCTGAAGACCATTGCTTTTGGTTCAAGCGAGTGATCACGAATCTAAACGATAATACTCAAAGCCAGAGAGCAGGCAGTTACATCGACAAGCCATGGGGAGGTGATCAAGGAGCTATCGACAACGAAGCGCAAACGCTGTTGGAATCACTGCGAGAACAAGATCTACCCAATGTTTTGCCATCAAAGAACATCAGACAATATGAAGTGCAATGGTCACCCAATGGTATCGATCCTGACAGCTCCCCAGATCATGCGCAGTACATTGATGATCTATGTAAAACATTCTATGATACTCTGACCGGAATGATTGACAGAGCAATAGGTCAAAGGCGGGAAGTTGAAATCAGAGATAACTTGATTGAAGAAATWACTGGACACTTATCTTTCTGTCTAAAGAAATGTCAGTCTTTTCATGGCAGGGAGGAGTTTCTCGAAGAGATGAAGAAAATCCTAAAGGAAAACCACACTCTAGTGATTCACGGGGAGTCGGGATGTGGAAAGACATCCATCATGGCCAAAGCATGCACATTGGTACGGAGCTGGMTAGACGAAGAAGACTGCATTGTGGTCACAAGGTTCATTGGAACCTCTCCTGATTCATCAAGCATCAGGCCCCTRCTGCGAAGCATTTGCACTCAACTTTGTAGGGTTTGTGAAGAAGACACGAACGTGGTACCGCAGGTAAGCTTGTGCAAATAAATTTCCTTAAATTTCCTTGATGTTTTCTTCTTTAAATAAAATTGTTATTCCTGTGAAAATATTCAYTGCTTTTCTGTTGCTATACAGTGTGTTCCGATCACTGACTATTYACCAGCTGTATTTTTATTCAAAATCAATCCGTAAACAGCAAACAATCAATCGAAATTGGAGCYAAGGCCCCGTGTGTTTTCTCCGTGTCATTAATCACTGAATTATAATAATGGTAAACTTTGCTCAATATCCCTCACATAGGATATGAAAGCACTGATAGAATACTTCCCYGAATGTCTGGAAAACGCAGCAAGCAGTTCACGACCAGTGGTTATCGTACTCGACTCTCTTGATCAGCTTTCACCTGATGACGGTGCTCGTCAAATGGGCTGGCTTCCAAAGGAATTACCAGATGACGTTTATCTCGTCATGTCGACATTACCTGGCGACGAGTACGAATGCTTTCCTAGGATAAAGGTGAAGTTCAAATCGGTTTATAATAATTGCATTTTGTCACCCTCACTATCATGGCAATCATCATGAATCAAAAACCATGCATAAATTCATGCAAACATTGTTTTTCAGGCACTGACCAGTATACCCAGTTACTGCATCAAGTCAGTCCCGCAAATTCCTTTGAGAGAAGCCGATGTTATTTTGAAAAGCTGGCTACAGTCAACCTCGAGAACGCTGACTCAGGGCCAGTCACAACTTGTTTTGGACGCTTTCGATAAATGCCAAATCCCACTATACCTGAAACTTGCATTCGATGAAGCTTGTAGATGGAAATCGTACAGTGATTCAAGCCAAACTGTGCTGGCCTCTTCTGTTAAAAGTATAATCAATGCATTGTTTGATCGAGTAGAAAGAGTCCATGGAAAACTTCTCGTAGGCCATGCACTAGGATACATCACCGCATCCAAGAACGGCCTTACAGAAGCTGAGCTTGAAGACCTACTATCTCTTGATGATGAGGTGCTCAAYGATGTATAYCAGTACTGGACTCCACCTCTTCGAAGGCTTCCACCATTGTTATGGATACGAATACGAAGTGACATCAACGACTACCTCATCGATCGCGGTGCAGACGGTACAAGGGTCATCTACTGGTATCATCGACAGTTTATCGAAGTAGCAAGAGAGAGGTATTTGGCTGGAGAACAAGCAACCAAGATTCATGCCAACCTAAGTGAGTACTTTTTGGGCACGTGGTCTCAGGGAAAGAAGAAGCCGTACGTAAACAAGAAAGGCGAAAGTCTGGAGGATGATCGTCTCGTCTCTGAGATGCCGTTAATGTTTGACAACACAGAACCAAACCCAGTGTTCAACTTACGCATGCTGAGCGAGTTACCTTATCACCTTACTTGTTCCAATCAGCAATCTATTCTCAAAGAAAGAGCKCTGTTTAACTTTGATTTTCTTGTGACTAAGATGAGAGCTGCTTCACTAGATGCTGTTCTTGATGATTTTACTGCTGCCCTTGCTAYGTTTGAAGATGCAGACCTTGACGTACTCGAAAAAACTCTGCGTTTGTCAGCCGTTGCTTTGACTACAGATCCTAGGCAGTTGGCAACGCAGCTAATAGGTCGTCTCCTAGATTTCTCCAAAAAGCACCCAGAATACGACTACATYCCYTCCATCATCAAACAAGCGTATTYAAGTCCAGTAACATGTCTCATTCCAAGCMATAGATGTTTATCAGCTCCTGGRGGAAGTCTTATTACGTCATTTGCAATTGACGAGGATCATTACAACACATGTGCATTTAGCTGCGATAACAAAACGGCATACCTTGCATCGATGACATCTGAAGGACTTTATTTTCAGGTAATTAATCTACAAACCGGAAAGATCCAACGGAAGATGATGTTGACAGAACCGTTCGAGTTTGTTTACACATGGTCCATGAARGGAAGCGAAAAAGACAAAGACAAGCTTCTYGTCATGGGATCTAAATACATCTTTATCATCGACGCAAAGACAGGGAAAGTACTTCAGCAGTTCRACGCACTTGAAGACGAAACTCGATACGAGCCCATGCCACCAGTCACKTTTGCTGAAGATGAAAACCGTGTTGTAGCAATCACAAACAAAAATCTCAAGATCTGGACAAGCAATGAYGCTGTCTTGCAACACACAATCGATATTGGCCAGATCAACACAGATGAGCAATATGGCACAATCGACGCATACGGCAACATAGCAGTGTTTTGCCTTCATAACAGCARAACCATCAAGGAAGTGGATGTAATATCTGGAAATATCAAGCGTGAAATTCAAGGTTTTCCAGGCACTGGCGATGACATATTTGTCAAGGAAGTGAAATTACTTTCCAGTGAGAAGGTCCTTGCACTCTCGTCATCTTTAAAATCACTTTCCATCTACAAYCTGCACAATGGAAGATGTCTAAAAGATTTCCAAGGGTTCAYAATCAATCCAGGTCTCCATAGATTACAGATAACAGAGAACGGCAGAAAAGCAGTGAATATCGTCATGTATGAAGTGATGATCACTGACTTGGAGTCTGGTGAGATAACAAGAACACTCAAGAGCAAGACGTTTGGGACCCTTGTCATCCATACTGAATTTTTCACAAGAAATGGAAGATTTGCCATGTCAATAGGWAACGACAACATACTGCGTCTGTACGATTTGAAGGTTGCCGTGGAAGAGGATAAAGAAGCGGCTGCAAAGTTCCCATCAAATCCAGCATTGCAAGCTATGCAAGTAGCGTCAGTGGATAGAGTAACAGGACTTTATCCAGGAGTTGATGGTCGGCACGTAATTGCTAATGCAACAGTGGAAATGGCTGCAGAATTATCCTTATGGGATGTAGTGAGGGGAACCAAAGTTCGGGCMATCAAATGTGGAAKGACTCCTCCACCCATTGAGATACGAATGTGTAGTGCTACCCGAGCAGTTGGATACATGCACGATGTCAACTTCTTTCATTACARGGTCTTCAATATCAAAGAAGGAAAAGTGGAACGTTGTCTGAAGGGAAAAGCATCCAAGCGTACCCCTGCCTTTGGTCGTATCGATGACACGCACGTCATTGGTTTTTCACAAGGAAGACGTAACCTTAAAGTGTGGGACATCGATACTGGAAACGTCGTGCATCRATACAAGTTTGGCCAAACCCATCCTCTGGAAGAAATGCTGATCAGCAAGAATGGAAGAATGGTGGTTTGCGCACAGGTCAGTCAGATGGCTGAACACMAAGATAAAACCCTTCCCATCATTGTCGTTGACACCAAGACTAGACAGCACAAGCTACTGGAAGTTCCTCAAAGGCAACTCACTTTAACTTTTTCCTGCATCTCACAAGACGGAAGTTACCTCCTCTGCCTTACCGCAAGCCATTACAAACCAAGACTTTGGGATCTGACAAGTGGAAAACTTCTTCATAAATTAGAAGATAAGGAATATCCTGTAGCTTATGCAACCGCGTTCTCTCTACCGCTGCAGCTAGCACTGACTGCACAAAGTGATGGCAATATCAATGCCTGGGAGATCGMCAGCGGGAAGATTTTGCACACTTTCATCTGTGAAACCGTCGACACCATCCTAGTATCTGAAGATGGCAACATGGCGTTTTGTCGATACCGTTACCGTCTTAGTAACATCGACGGATGGGACCTRCGAAATGGCACCAAGTTAGCAACATTCACATCGGATTGGAAACCTGAGAGAGTTGATATTATCGGAAACATCCTTGTGCTTGGGATGGCAGAAAATGCTGATGTGATGACGTTAAAGGTTCATACTCCAGGACGAAGTGACGAATCTTCCGAGCAACAATCGATATTTCATGGAGTCCCAGTGGAAGGAGTACTGGAACCTTGTCCCGATTCCCCCTCGGCTGATGATAATGATGATGACCAAGATGATGATGGGGAGAAGACAGATTACCAAAAGGGCGAGTTCACCAGAAAAGCTTTGAATGCTAGACCTGATGTGATCATAGGAGGCGGAAATCTTGTCGACTCCAARAATGTCTTCATATCAGAAGCGGTTTTTAAGCAAAATTTCTGCAGAGAATGATATATCCAAAATTTGAACATTTTTTCCAATTTAAGTATTTTCTCAATATTCATTCTGATGTACTGACAGTACATGATAGTTTATAACTTATAACACAACGGCTAATGATGTTTGCACTATGTAAGAGTAAAGTAATAAATATTTTTTTATATTTTTTAATAGTTTCATTAAAGTTTTATATCTGTAACTTTTGTACTGCACATATAATGTTAAGCCATGTAATATCCTGCGAGCAGAGGAATGTATTTTTTATTTATAGTACTAAGATAATATGAAAATGAAAGGGTAAGGAATGGCATTTATATGTCTTCGTGAAAAGAAGTAAAGGAAGTTATTCCACCGATATCTCTCTCAAGCATTATAAATCAAATAGTAAAGAACAAAAAGAAGAGAATATATTTTGGTATAGCCAAAGAAAGAAGCCCACGAGTTTGCATAAGATCTTTTAAAAAGGCGGTTCAAACAAATCTATGACTTCAAAAGGGAAACAGCCATTGCCTCATCTTGTCAGCATGCAAGGACAATTGTATCATTTTAGCAATTAAATACAATTGTCACATATAGAGTGCTTCTTAACTGTGTCATAGAGGTTTCGAMAATCTGATTTCACCACAAAATACCTCAAATATGATTTTAACCACTTAAAKTGCACAATAAGTGCATTGGTAAATTTTGTACTTTTTGTTAGCAAACTATTTATAATATATTGTACATGACCACTCTCCCGTTTCTCTACAAAATCTGATTCGATACATCSTCTTCTACACTTAATAAGAAACAAGACATTGATTAAGTCGTGGGAAGAAAATATCGTGATGTATGATATTAACAGGAATTCTGTACAATCACAACAAAGAAATCATTTAATTTCCATRATAAAGAATTTTGAAAGAATTGTATATTCAAAACTCCAAATGCTTCACTCTTCATATATACAGAAGTATGTACTTCGTATAACAGTCCATATGTCAAAACAATAAATCAATCTCTTCATAAAGGAGTCTTCAATGAGGCATACATGTTAATGTTAAAATCCASCTATTTTCTATTTGAATGAAGCTAAAGAATGTAATCATTCACGAAACAAAGAGGGCGGGGAAAGTTTGACAAATTTTTAAACMATACACGAATGTTTTAATCTCTGAATCAGTGTTMTTTAGGAAGGTAGKTATAATCAYAATGGGACGCATTGGAACACAACTACAGTGTATACGTTTATTTCTTTCTATATCTCGATGCCTGATAAACAAGCCTTCAATATCTTCCCATGCTCTGCTTGCATGACTCCGACTTTATGACGTCACAGCTACCTATGTAGATGTTACTAGCACACTGCTTGACAACATCAAGCGTGACCAGTAACACACCTCAAATCGAAGCACAAGGGAATAAAGTTTCGTCTGATTTTTGGGAAAGAATTGAGAACAGACCCTGGTTTCATCAGGTTTGTAAAGTATAATTATTCATTTTGAATGCGGTTCCATTTTGTTTTTGTTTTTTGTTTTGGCTGTTTCTCGGTTCAACAAGAAATGTAAATATTCAGCTGCATATGTAAATCATTTCTATAAAATTCAAACATAAGAAAATCCTTTGGAACCGATCACGATTTTATCATTTTACCATTTTTTTCAAAAGAAATCGATTATTTTTATTCCCTTCTTCTCGCATGTCATTTAAGAATTTTCTGATTCACTTTCTTCACTTCACAATATCCGATGATAAACGAKCTCAATAACACACAAMGCTTKAAAAACMTTYAAGAACACAAAGGTTTACGGGCAGGATACCTTTCATMGAAATTAAATCGACAGCTTGTCTAATAGGAGATGCAASGTTYTCGATTAAGTCTTCGTCGAATTATTGTTCTCGATCAAAAAGTAAGACGCAAAATAAAATGTCTTATCCAATTCAATAGTTTAAATGTGACAGATTTCCCAATTTCCTCTCGTTCTGCTGCTATAAAGTATRTYAGTCGCAGAGAGTGTAACCAGCAAATCTAGTCACAGATTCGTGATATTATTTTACCAATTCATTCGATATATAAGAGGTGCTTTGCAAGTATGTCACATAGGTGTTGATAATGAGCTTTGATCAAATAAGCTCAAAGTAAACTCTCGAAAACATTGTCGAAATAACATATTGATTAATTCATCATTTACACGATCTCATCTTAATAATTTTTCGTCTCAGTGGTTAAAATATAGAACATATGAAAGTCACGGTATTTGAGTTAGACATTTTTTAGTGTCCATATTCAAATAGCTGGCGTGCAATACCCCATAGGGCTTTGTTACAAAGGCATTATGTTGTTGACTGATTTACCGTTATACAACGTCTCACCATTCATGTATGCCAGCCTCTGCAAGATATGCACCCATGTAGCASAAGTCACTTTAAGCATTCGTTGAATGTTGTTTGGACCTGAAACAAATCAATAACAACGATAGTCTTGCTYATCAATATGAATTATTCTTTAAATTCAGGTGGCGATAAAAAATGGGATCTGGCTCATCAAAAAAGAAGAAGTTTGKGTCAGTAGGTGCGGTGAAGTCAGGAAAGGTATTCAGCTGGTTTAACCTTTTTCCAGCTCTAATTATAAATTTTTAAATCAAAAGTTCTTATTGAACTTCTCTTGTGACTTGATGCAAGTTAAAATTAAACTGCATATGTTCCATTGAATGTAGTTATTTGCTTTTTACTAACACTTCCTTAAAAATTGTCCTTCTATGTCGAGTATTTCTATATTTTAAGCCAATATATTTGTCTAGAAATGGAGGAAAAAGAGCAAAGAAAAAGTTTCGGGAACTAGTTTTCAAAAGGAAGAAGAAGAGGAAGAGCCTGAAAAACAGGAAGAGCCTGAAAAACAGGAAGAGAGTGAAGAAGAACGAGAATCCAGTGAAGAAGAAAAAGATAGCGAGGAGGAGCAAGAGGAGGAGAAAGAAGAGGRAGAAGAAGAGGAAGAAAAAGAGGAGGATGAAGAAGATCAAGAAGTCGACGAAGAACACGAGTCAGAAAATAGCGACCAAGACGAAGAGRACGAACAACATAGTGAAGATGACGATGATAATGAAGTACAAGAAAATGCCGCCATTACTCTTCAAGATTACAGCAGCAAGCTGCAAAAGGCTCTGGTAGGTGATCTGGACATCGATTTTCCAGAAAATGTCAAAGTTGTGAGAATATTCACAAGTTCCACTTTCACAGGTAAAAGTAATTTTAATAACCATTCCTCTACTTTACACTCGCGTAAAATTTATATTTTCCTACTTGTTGCAGACACGTCAGTAGAACGAAACACTCTTATGGTCAAAGTATACCCTCGTATCAAGAAGTTCTG